TAATCATTAGTTTTATCAACTTTTTACATCGGAAGTAACAATGCAATCAACAGTCGAAGTGCTACCAAAAACGATAGGAATTATCATCTTACTTACTGCTTACAGCACAATTTACTTTGGTTTTGTAACCGTTAGTAGAAATATTTGTTTATTGTTTTGATGTAAGTATATGAACAAAAAATTGACTTTTTTATCGTTAGAAAATAAATGTAATATTTTTAGATGAAGTTACTATTACATAGAATTAATAGGGTTTACGAAGTGTTGCTGAATAATGAGGAATTACATTTGTTTGAAGAAAGTATAAAACAAAGTAAATTATATGTATACGTTGTACTTGGTAAATATTATAATGATACAAAATTATATAAAAAGATTTGTTTCTAATTCTATTTACAAGCCTTTACTTTGTTTCAGGTCTTTTTAATGGATATGGTTTTTCATTAGTAGTTCCGTGTATTGTCATAGTATGTCTTTATTTTTATGGAATATTGGACGATAATAACTTACCACTAATATTACCCGTTGATAATGTCACCAAGGCAGGAGTGAAATATTTTTGTTCGCTTATTTATCAAATAATTTTAGTTATTATTGTGATAATAATAGGTGGTGTGAGTTTTTCAGGATATATGATATTTGTTCTTTTTGCGTGCTTTCAATTTCGTGTTTTAATGTGCGTGTTAATTAATAATCAAACTTATAATTGTATTTGTTTTAATTATTGTTTCTACCATATATTGCATTCTGTCATTTATATTTTCTTTTTTTTGAAGATTAAAAATAAAGCGTCCATTCAAAAAAAATTTAAAATATTTTCAAAAGAATTGTTATTTTATAACACCGCAAGAAGAATGGGATTGGATAATCGATATTATAAATAGATTTAAAAATGTTACGGAGTDAGTATAATGAGATGATGTTAAAAGAATTTTACTTTTAATTATATAAAGTGTGTAACATTATCACGAAGTATTGACATATTATATGCGAGTCAATCAAAGAAAATATTTGAAAAGTTTAAATACTATAAGACAAAATGAGTTAGATATGGCAGTTTATTTTTATTAGAATTTTTTTAAGGTATGTGGATTTGTTGAACAACTTTTCGAAGATAACTTACTTAGTTACAACAGTCTTGGCTTTAAGCATGATAGCTTTTGATTTTCTTTATGTAAGTAACAAGAATGTCAAAACAAAAAATAAAAAATAATAAATATTGAAGTATTATCTTTCTATTATTTCACAATAATCAAATTATGGACTATTTTCTTTTTATTTAAAAATTTATATATATATAATATATGACTATTTAATACATTATATATTATATTATATTAAATTATGTACTGTAATAATTTATAAAAATATATTACATTATATATATATTTTTAATTGTTTACGTGTAGATATTTCAGTTATCTGCGAGTTTGAACAATTTAACCGAAATAGTCGAATTGAGTTTCTACATTGCAGGCTCATTATTTACGATTTATATCAATTTTTATTTTGGCCAAGAACTGATGAATCACAGCAATTTAGTTTACAAGGAATTGTAAGATATAACAAAATTCTTATCAAATGCAATTAATTCCTTTGAAATGCAAACAAACACTTTATACGATATAATTACAATGATTTTATTTTTTTCTGCTATTTTACTATCATGTTAATAATTATTTCATTAAAGAAATAACCTCCTGATTTGTTTAAAGGTGTCAAGTTCCATTTTATAATCTATCGCATAAAACACAAAAATTTCTATTATTCGTAATTGCAAAGAGCTGCAAGGCAAGCACGATTTCGATTGGTGGTATGTTTGTGTCAACACATGCAACGTTTGCAGTGGTAAGTTGCAATTAGCGATTTTTTTTATGATTTATTATTTAAATGTATCTTTTTAGTTAATAAGGAAAGCGTTCTCTTTTGCATTGGTTTTCCATTCTACACTATAATCCGTAATTGTATTTAAAATTATGAAGATATTTTCAATACTGTGCTTAGTAAAGATGTATATGATTCTGCATGATACAAATAATATTCTATATTTCATGAAAATATGATTATAATCATGAGTTATTGTTTGACAAATATATTCTATGATATTGGAACATTTTTCTGTAATTATTTACCCATAAATTATGACAATTTCTATGCAACTTCAGCAGACTGTATTGTCGATCAAAATAGAAGATACTATTTTCTAATCACTAGAGCAATCTCATTTTGCTGCTGGATCAGCAAGTGTTCTGCACCGTTGTCGGAAACCAACTGATCTAAGTTGATATCAATAGAACCTATTGCGCATGTCTGAAAATATAAAAACTCGAAGGAAAATAAACCCTCGTGAAATTGATGAGAAAAAACAYCTTTCATAAGAAAATAATAACAGGTTAATGGTATAGAAATGTATAGGATAATTTAAATCATATAAAGAGCTAAAACATTCCTATCCTATATTTTGTAGATAAGTTTATAAATTTTTTATTCTCGTTATTTTCTTGTCATTCATTTCCATTTTATTCCTATATTTTTAATAGAATGAAATTTGCATTTACTATGAGATCGTAGGGGAAATAAAATGCTCATTTAATATTTTGTTTTGAAATTTGCTAGTTAGTTCATAATGGCTGCTGGTGGTCGACTGTACGACGAACATTTTTTCGCTTCGAATAAGTTCGTTCAATCAATATTGTGTATTCATCCTGATTATTCTCAGAATGATGCATTGTTTTCACTGTGTTTAATAACATTCTACCTTGTTCCTGGACTATTACATCAAGTATGTTTAATTTTCTTAACGTTAAATACATTGATATATTTATTATGGTGATACTTATTTTTTTTTCTTTGAAGTAATAGATATCTGTCGTTTAAACATAAATTATTTTGTAACCTATAGTAAAATATATTTTATATATCATTTATTGCATGTAATTTGTAAGTTTCTTTTTAATCATTAGTTTTATCAACTTTTTACATCAGAAGTAACAATGCAATCAGCAATGGAAGTGCTACCGAAAACGATCGCAATTATCATTACACTTACTGCTTACAGCACAATTTACTTTGGTTTTGTAACCGTTAGTAGAAATATTTGTTTATTGTTTTAATGTAAGTATATGTACAAAAAATTGACCTTTTCATCGTTAGAAGATAAATTTAATATTTTTAGATGAAGTTATTATTAAATAGAATTAATATGGGTTACGAAGTGTTGCTTAATAATGAGGAATTACATTTGTTTGAAGAAAGTGAAAAACAAAGTAAATTATATGTATACGTTATACTTGGTAAATAATTATAATCATATAAAAATTATACAAAAAAATATTTTTCAAATTCTATTTATAAGTCTCTACTTTGTTTTAGGTTTTGCTAATGGATATGGTTTATCAATATTAGTTCCGTGCATTGTCAAATTATGTCTTTATTTTTATGGAATATTGGACGATAATAATTTACAACTAATATTACCCGTTGAAAATGTCACCAAGGCAGGAGTGAAATATTTTTGCTCACTGATTTATCAAATAATTGCATTTATTGCTATATTTACAGTAGCTGCTGTGAGTTTTTCAGGATATCTGATATTTGTTCTTTTTGCGTGCTTTCAATTTCGCGTTTTAATGTGCGTGTAATTATAATCAAATCTATGATTGTATTTGTTGTAATGTATCTTTTCTTTTTCAGAACAATATTTTATTTTTTTATAGTTTCTTTTTTTTTGTTTAAAGATCTAAAATACAACGTCCGTTCAGAAGAAATTCAAAATATTTTCAAAGGGATCTCTATTTTAGAACATCGCAAGAAGAATGGGATTGGATAATCGATATTATAAATAGCTTTAAAAATGTTACGGAGTTAGTATAATGAGATGATGTTAAAAGAATTTTACTTTTAATTATATAAAG